GTTGGGAAGATGAGCCGTGCAATCCAGATCGAGGCATTTGGCCAACTGCATGGATGACACCATCAGGGAAACAGATCTCAGGGTCTAGGGGTCCCGGGTCTCGATGGCCCTCAAAAGGCATTTCATTAATACCATAATCATTGATCATGTATTTCTTCCCTCCGCTTGACCCGTCGTTCCTTTTATTCAATGTTGGGTTCGGACGTACCTGACCATTGATGAAGTTTGAAGGGACTCAAGTGGTAGGGAGAAAGAAAGGGGTTACCTCGTACAAGAAACATCTCACCTGTATGCCATTGCCTACTAGCGCCGGGCGGAACAAAATCAAAAGGCTGACGCTCTAGTGGCCTCCAGGCATTCCATTAGGGGTGTCCAACGCCCAGTCATCTGTTAGATGTCCCTAAGCGGCCAAGTGGGACGCCGTGCTACTCCTACTAGGGCAACATAACGGTGCTACCGATCAACGGCCCCTATCCAACCTTCCCCATTTCGATATTTCATCAACACTCATCACAACCAACACACCACAGAAGGCTGGTCTTCTCTGCAATATCCCTTGATTGGCCGTTACGCTTAGAGGACCTAAATTACCTGCCTTGAGGCGATTGGTGCTATTAAAATCAGAAACGCCTACCGAGTACCTCGTACTGTACCTTGTACCCTGTAATACTCCGTACGAGCACCCGAGTACAGCCATCTCTCCAGCCATAACACTTCATAGCCAATTTGAGCATTACCTGCCACTCATTGAGGACGAGTACGAGGACGCTAAAATGCCGACGCAGCCTTGCTTTAACGCGTCGAGTTTTCGCACCCCAACTCTCTGTCCTTCCGCACATTCACGCTCGAACAGCAGCGTCAGGCTGAGCTCTACCACCCACCATGGACCCAAGGGTTCCTGCGACAATAGATGAGAAAGGGGAATCCAGCCATGCGCCAATACCCCCGGCGCCGAATACACCACCAGCTGACGATCACATTGTCGCGGTACAACCACCCGCGGATCAGCCTCCTCAGCACCCAATCGTGCCTACATTCTTTGGAGAGCTCGCAGGGACAGGTAAACGAGGTTACCCGCTCAATTGGAGCTTTATTGACCAAGTCCTAGATGGCCAGGCATACATGTCCTTGCGAAAACGCGTGACAGACGCTTACCGTTGGCACACATACCAGTATTGGTTTGTGGCCATCACCTCGAACTCGCTCCTTTTCTTCCAGATCCTCATCGCAGCTTCTCTCACCGTGCTGGGAGCCTTCAATGACCGGCGGGCTCGGACCGCCACCATCTTTCTCGGCGCCACCAACACCGTTATTGCAGGGCTCATGACCTACTTTAAAAGTCGCAACCAGCCGAATCGCGCCCGACAGTTCCGCAACGACCTCGCAAGGATCGTGGATCAGCTTGATGATGCAGAGGCGAACTTCCGCAATCCAAACCGCCACGACGACGTCTACTTGGTCATGGAACAGATCAGAGAAGCTTATAACCAGGCGCGGACTGATGCCGAAGTCAACTATCCGGATTTGTGGGTTAAAGGCTCGACTTCTCAAAGTTCAAATCCTACGGCACGAGCATCAACGAACCCGCGAACAACCGTTCCCCCTCCTCCAGCAGCACCGTCATCGGTGCCAGGAACCACAGATCGTCCTGTGTCTGATCTGGCCCATGGGGCACCAATACCAGGGTCAACAGTGAGAGTCTTATAAGCTATTCGTCATATGCTATGTCAATGCTAGCGACGCGCGCTTGAGGGATCGACCAGCCAGGTGTGAAGTGGTGGCATCTTCACATGGTTCAAGAGGTCAACTAATCCCCTTGACCGATCCAATCTGCAACCCTCTCAGCCATTGCATAGACCACAGACTGAGGGTGACACGCCATCGGGATCGGAAATACACTGGCATCGACGACCCTCAAGCCTTTGACGCCCACAACGCGACAATGACTGTCCACGGCTTTGCCCATCGCGCAGCTACTCGTCGGGTGGTCAAGACTATATCCGAAATCAGCAATTCGCTTGTCGATTTCCTCGTCCGTTGCGTTCATGATACACGCGTATCCCTCTGGTGCAACTTCATGGGATATAAAGGACCTCCCAGCCTCGGTGCCAAGATGGACTGATGCCGCTTTCCGAAGTGCCTCTCGGAGGCCAGCCCTGTCCACATCAGTATCGAAGAAATTCACGTCAATTACCGGCGGATCCTCGATGCTGGCCGACCTCAAAGTGATGGAACCTCGAGATGTAGGAGTCAGAAAGCAGACGATGGTGCTAATATAGCTCCCGTCCAGTGGTACGTCGATACCCGTGAGCCTCTTCCCAATGGCCACGTAGAGCGTGACAATCTCCGTATGCGACGCATCCGGCCTGAGTACCAGGTTTCTGTCTTCCTGAGTCCTGATCAGAGGTTCCAGTTTCGCCAGCTGGTCTAAAGGCCCGAACGTCATGAAATCCACCGGCCACCCGGCGAAATAGGAAGGGTCGTTGAACAGTGGCGACCCGATGGACAGCCCCTTTTCCGGATGCTCTAGTTTCCAAGTCAGCCCCATGGCCAAATGATCTGTGAGGTTTTTGCCAATTGCGCGATTGGAGGCAATGGGCTCTATGCCGTGCTTTGCCAATTCGTCAGGGTCGCCTATCCCAGAGAGCATGAGAACTTGAGGGCTATGGTACGTCCCGGCGCAGATAATGACCTCTTTCTTCGCGACCAGGTGCTCGCCGCCGACAAGGTCGACGCCATTTGCAATAGGCTGGTCTTGTCCCGTAAAGGTGACGCGCTGTACCGTACTCGTGGTCCGAATGTCTACCTTTGTCAAATCGAAGATTTTGCTCGGCAGCTGTCTGACGCTGTTGACCCAGACCTCGACAAATTCGATCAGGCCATTCTGATCACCTGCATTGCCATCAGGGATGTACCTGGCCCCTGCCTCCTCCCACATCTTTTGAATTGATTCCCTCAGGGGGTACTTCCTCGTTGGCCACAGAGACCGGATCGGGGTGAGCTTTAATGGTCCATCGTGTCCGTGCTGGCTTTCATCCATCTCCACACCTTCTGGCGACACTACACTCTCCACCCTCTTCATATAGGGGAGAAGGGCATCATAGCCCCAGCTGTCGTCGCCCACCACCTTTGCCCACAGATCGTAGTCACTTTTCGGTCCCCTCGTCCAAGCACCCCCATTGATCGCCGCAGAGCCACTCAGCGCCTTGCCGACCGGCGCGGTCGCGCCGCGTCCGTTGAGGTGCCGATTGGGTGAGATGGCGAGCTGATACGAGTGCTGGGACTCTCGAGCCAGATGCGCGCCTTGGCTCGTCAAGATATGGTCGGTGGTCGAGGGGTCTGTCCCTGCCTCGAGGACGAGAATCTGTTTGGTATCTGAAGGCGGGAGGATTCTGGACAGTCGCGACGCCAGGACGAGCCCGGCAACGCCGCCTCCGACGATGATGTAGTCGTACGAAGACGGAGACAGTGACGAGGCCATTGTCGTACTGTTCCGTGCCCTTCTAGTCTTTTGCTCCACTGTTCCCGACAGGACAGGATGCTCTCAACCAAGACGAAGACAAAGACAAAGATATTATTCGTGATGATATGATATGATATGATATGATGTTGTCATTAATGTTGATGGAATGGAACGGAATGGTATCTCATAATACCATATAGAATATAATATAGAATAATTAGTATGAGATATAATATATCTATCTCCTAACGGAAACAAATGATAATCTTTTATAGAACAGTCCCTTGTAGATCAGCAGTAGTACTGAGTAGTTATCTATCTCAAATCTTAGAATAGAGACGAAAGATGGGGGAAAAGATGAACGACAATCCTCAGCTCGTCCCATCTAGGTAGTCCGTGCGGATCACTATGCGTTGGGTTGGGTTTGGTCTGGTCTGGTTTGGTTTGGTACATATTATAGGGTTCGGTAGGGTTAGGTTGGGCTGGAATGGAATGGGAGGGGTTTAGAAATACAGTAGTGAGTCCTCGGTAGTACCTCGTATTTGCGGCTGAATGAACGGCTGAATGGATGGACGGTTTGGTACTTGTCCATACAGTAGGTACAAGCCTACTTAGCGAGGCACGCGAGGCTTGATACCTCTACTTGTACTATAGATAGAAGATAGATCGACGCTCCCTCCCGCGGGAACCACATGCCCTAATCCGGTAAAATGGTACATTCTCTTGGTGCAGGTTGCCTGGGGATTCATCCTTGTCTATTTGGGTAGTACAATCGCAATGCAATGCGGGATGCATGTATGTCTTGAGCCATGTCATCTGCGCACGCTGCGTTACCGTCGGGCCAAGGTCATGGGCTATGGCCACAGAGTGAGTCCGTATGTATCCCAAGGGATAGATAATGGTCGAGGAAAATTATGGCGCACATCATCTTTTCATCTGCGACTCTTCGTTCCCCTGCTTCATGGAGAGATCGGGCTTTGTATTGCTTCTCCAACCTGCCTTGTCATGCATTTCATTCATTCATGCACTTAATTCGACACGTAGCGGGATGCCGAGACGACAAATCGACAGATTGCGTGTTAAGAGGAGCTGAAATTCGCAGAGCCACGAAAATATTCGCATTATAACTTTTGCTCAGTGGTATCACATTCAAGCTCGAGACGGATTCTCCAAAGCGCCACGAATATCGCGCGCAAGGACCTCGTAACTGGTCGGGGAATAAATAAACCTGAAATAGTCGCTTGGATCTCATTCAAAGCCCGCTCGTCGGGCGAAACCATATGTGAATCAGCCGCATTGACAACACCCTTGTTTGTTCGTGTAGAAATTCAGGCATCTATTTGGATGATGTGGTCATTACATGTCCGTAGAAGACTGATACATGAAGGCTTCTCGCAAGACAATCACTTACCCGCCGGCGGTTGCCTTCCAAAGCATACAACCGTCTCTTGACTTATAGCTCAGACTGTGTCGAGGAAAGAAATGTTAGCCTCGTTGATCTGTCGGAACCACCACAGACCTTTCGCGCAGAGACCTGTCAGGCCTGCCGCTCGCGCACTTCATAGAAAAGCAAAGAAACAGGGTATATCACTGGTGCGCCGTACCAGCCACTTGTATTATCGCCGTAGTTCATACAGCCTTCGGCGTGATCGCCATAATTTAGACATCCCTCGGCGTGGTCGCCAACGACCATACACCCTGAAGCGCCATCTCCAAAGGTACAGCAGCCATCCTCGACCTGTCTCTTTTGACACGACTCAGTTCCCCTCGATGCAGACGCAGACGCAGCCTGCTGCGGGCTTGTCTCCGGCTGTGACGCCGCTTGCCGAGCAGCCTCGCTCTGCGGCCGAGGAGATTCGTCTCGCTGCAGTCGGTCATTACTATGTGCAGAGGAGGAGCGCGAGGACTCTTCGTAGGGAGGTGGGGGATCCATGCGCGGGAATGTGCTCGATCCACCTCTGTTGGGCGGGGAGGTAGAATCTCTGAGTTTGCCCATTCTGGCTGACTTTGATCAGGAGGAAGAATAAACGAGGATAGATCTCGCCTCGTATGCTGGAGAGAAAAAGCGCGGTGCTCAAGATCGCAAGAGTGTGCGAATGTCGCAAGTTGTTTGACTATAATGCAGCTGTACGAATATGAATACTCTGCGGTTAGCACTGCTCAAAACCCTGACCGTCGCAAGAAAATCACGACACATTATATGGTTCGCCAATGTGACTGTGAGCGAAGAAGCATTGACTTGCACAAGCATCAACTGATAAATGCTCTGGCCGAGGCTACGAATACGATTGGCCTGTTTGGTTTCTGCCTGCGGATCGAGTTGTGCGAAAGAGGGATAGGCAAAGATGAAACTGAGGCTTGATGAGCTGTGGCTGGGATATGTTCAGTAGGCTCGAACCATAGGAATTATGTTGCCTAATGGCAAGAAGCAAAAGGACGAGGTACGAGCCATAGCGAGTTTCTTGTTGCTTTGGTACTTGGTAGTGACGGTGGGAGGTGGAGGTGGGATGCCTGGATTCTAGAAGACTCCAAGGGTAAATCCGGGGAGATGATAATTGGACACGGGTAGCGAGGCTCAGGTGGCGCAGCTCTTTTCTCTTCTCTTAAATCTTGGTTAGAAGAAAGGGATAAAACTTGGTACTTGTGTGAGCAAGATATGACGCCAGTCAGTCAGTGTGCGAGACACAGACCAAGGGAGGTGAGCAAGTTGGCCAATCTACCGTGTACCTCCGTCCTCTACAAGTGCTCCGTAGTGACTCAAACTCATGATAGGCCAGGTTTTGAGGCTAAGTTGAATTTTTCGCTCGCGTGTGAGAATACGAGATGGGAACAAGCATCCACCCACTACGCTGTCAGGTACTTGAACTCGGTATAAGCCCTCGGTACAAGTAGGATGATGTTGTGATGCCACCCACTCAGGAGGTTGTCTGTTTACGCGGAATAACTGACACACATTTAGAGACACGCTCAGGTGAGAGTGGATGAAGACCAAAGCCAGGGAAAGTGGGAATGTTGTAACTTAAATGATACGGCAATTTCCATCTCGTGATTTTCGTTCTGGACAGAGAACAAGCGAGTTTGTGGCAGATTGGCGCTCGCAAAGAGCTTGTTGCGTGCTTTTCCACCATTGAACCATTGCCAATGGTTATTTCCGGGGGGGCGGCTCTCAGGGCCACTTCTCCCTTAAGCTTGGGGGCTTAGGGGCTTACCTCGTAGGGGCTTAGAAGGGGGGTTGCCACCCTCTCATACCTCTGCACCTCACGCCATCGCCTGGCAAGTCTGGACTTTGGTCACCCATTTAGTTAAACTTTGGGTAATAAGCTGCTTGGCATTGTTGCCCCTGATTTCCTGATTCAACCTGATAGCCTTTGACAGCCCTGATGGTCTCTGGCGGCCCTGATGCAATTGCCCGTACAAGCCCGTACTTACTTTGGGGGATCGAGATGAGCGCCGTTGAACTCTCAGCTCGTGGCACCCACTACGCGACATAGTATGAAAACACTGGCCTCCCCCTCCTCCAGCCCAAAATCCTTATAGTATCATCTCCTTCGCTGGGTCTTCTGGTCAATTTGTCACTGGTAACCAGCTGCTTCTGTATCACGTTGCATCGACAACATTCACATTCGTTTCTCTTTCCTATCTCTTTTCATTGCCATTTGCATCCCTTTTGATTCACCATTACCCCGGTTTCTCGCAATCTTGCCGGCGGCGATCTGAAGAACCCTGTACTTTTGTGCCTCATAGGAATTCCGGCGACTGGCCTGCGTCGTCACAATGGGCCTCAACAACCACTACCGCTCCGTTTCCGACAACGACGAATCTTTCCCACTCTCGGAAAAGAGTCAACCAAGAGCAGGCTGGGGTAAACAGTCCATCTGTCTTTCTATCGCGACTGGCACGCTGTTCATTGCCATCATCGTCGCCATCTTTTCTCTGATTTCTTCTGTATTTGTCTCCAACACCAACACCACAAAATCCGATGCCCTCTCCGCCTCGACCACCAGCGCAGCCGCAGTTGCCGCTAGCACCTCCGCTGTCGCAGTCACTCCTCCAGTCGACGACTCGATAAAATCCGCTGAGGGTTCGGACGGCTCGACTCAAAAAGCAGAAATCGACCACTGCGGCTTTTCCCCCGAGGAGGCAAGAGAACGTGGCTGCATCTTTGACGTGATGATGCAACTCTGGACTCCCGCAGCTTGTTTCGATGAAACCCTCTCGAATCGCTTCCTGGAGGTGGGCAACTGGACGTGGTACGCTGATCCATCTGCCAGTCACATCTACACATTGGAGGAAATGAGAAAGGGCGAACACGATGCGGTCTATGTCGCTCAAGACTACCATGTCACTCACTGCATCTACGCCTGGGAGAAATTGGTCCGGTCTATGAGGAATCAACAACCCCTCATCACCGAGTTGATCTCTTATGACCATGTCATCCACTGCAGACATAAAACCCTCCAGAGAGCCGACGGAGGCGACTCCATCCGTGGTGTCCGTGCACCTACCGGATATACACAGTGCGCACCATACGACACCTGGAAGGACCACCTCCCTCCTAATGAGCACTCTTCAACAGACTGAAGATAAAGATAAAGACATTTTGGATCGGCCCTCATTTTAGCGTTTCGCGGTTGGAGTTCGAATATATGGTCAGTTCATATAGGCACATAATTCTCAGATCACCAATATTTTTTGGAAATGGACAGGTCTCGGACGCGCGCTCGAATGTGCACAGTCTCATGGGAGATCTCAACTTTCAAAGTCAAGGTCGCCCGCAGAAATTGTGCCACCATCTAAGCTATCTAAGCTTCAGAAGATGGTGCCATGGTACGTCTTCAGACCTCTGGATTTCGGGATCGCACCAACTGAACGAACGACCAGACAGTTGGCGCGGAGGGATCAGTGTATTGAGTATTTGATGTGGGGTGCACTCGGTATTGGAGTGTCTTTGGATTTCAGATATGTACCACTCGCAGCTAGGCTTTCTGAAGACTTGCCAACCTCAAATGGATGATGCAAATGACTTTTACATTCGATCGAACAATGCATTCGCCTGTGAACAACTCTTGCATACAGCGCATTCCTACTTGACCTCTCGAACTACATCCAATTTCTACAAGAGAGGTAGTTGGTAAGGTCTCCCGAGTCCTCGTCCTCCTCATCGGTCCGAAGCTCTGTGTGTGAATTCCCAATTAATCACCTACGTACGTGCCTTGTCCGCGTTCGACACCAAAAACACGCGTCGGCAATAGAACCTACGATCAATCTATCGATAAGAGGTAATTTATTGATCCTCTTGTGAACACTTTCCTTTTGGAGCCGACGTGTGTGATCGGCAAGATTTTTCAACTGCAGATCAAGCTTTCGGTGATGCCATCCAAAACCTACTGTGGTGCTGGGCACTATCCATCGCTAGCTCAAAACTCTCCCTCTTCGCCTGCGGCCTGCTTCAGGAGTTTCCTGCCTTCTCAAGAAACGTTGTTCATGAACATGTGGTCTAGAACAACGGTCGTGCATGGGATGCGACAAGCCGTTTACCTCCTCAAGGGAGGACCTCTTCCACTCGCAACGATTGGTCCACCCATTTGGCGATTGTGCGAAGCTGGAACGATTGAGGATAACAGACATTTTGCATGCTGGTCGCCCGTGCAGGGGTTCGTTTGTGGCTTGCGTCGAGGCCAGCTTTGGACCAGCTGAAGGCGCGCGAACCGTCCCACGAATGTGCAACTCGGTTTTGGACAGGATGCTAATAAGGGCGATGTCGCCGTCACTCCCGTCGAAAGGGGCCATTCCCTGCAGCGACGGCCTGCCGCTGAAGAGGCCCTACGCTGCTGAAAACACACCCTCTCTTAGCTGAGAGCTTTACGAACTGCTTACATTCCAGTTTTCTTCCCCAGTTTGCATGACACCGACCAGTTGCGAGGATGAGTGAATCGACAGAACCCGCCCACGATCGCGTGGATGAGTATGTGGTGGATCCTATCCACGTGTCTCTCCTAGCGACCATCGATGACGAGGACACCGCCTACAAGGACCCAGACAAGTTGGATCGTTACTCTCTACTTGAAGCAAAGACGATTGACATATGGGAGACCGCCAGCCGGGGCGCGCAGATTGTGGATCGTAATTATCCGGTATCGCGAAGACTACCTCCGGACCTCTTCGAGGCGTATCACCCTGCAATACCACGCGGGAGCCGTCTGGCTCTTCGTCTCTTGTGCACACGGCCGGCGCTGGGGGGTAACCAGACGGCCAAGCACGACGACCTGGGGCCTCCGGGGGATCGACAGATCAATTACCTTCCCTTAGTGCCCGCGGACATACAGGAGCTGGTCCATCAATGGGATCTCAACCGCGAATACACCTGGATGAGACTGAACGCGCGAGAAGTAGGCAATTTTCAACGCAAGACGGTGTGGAGTTTCGATGTCGAGCCACCCAGAGCAGTCCGAATGGGTATGTGCATATTGGGGGAGGCTGGTAGAACGATCCGCATTTTCGCATCCAGAACAAGCTGAATTGAATTGCTCCCCAGGATTGGTGATCCATTTCCCCTTCGTCCTCCGTCCAGCCCGACGAGCCAAATATCTGGCCGATACAAAGGGAGGCCGCACTGCCTCGCGGCGATCGCTCAAGTCGACGTACAATCCGCGCCGCGATGACCCTTTCCTGTGGTCCTTTGCCATGTCTCATTCTCTGCGCGACGGCAAGACCCGTTGCCTCCTCGACGGGCTCACAGACTGGGCAATGGGCGACGTGTCGCGCCGGCTGCTGAAAGCGTCGCAGCAGTGGTACCTACATCCGTTGCACGTGCCGGTGATCCTGCTGAATATCTTCTTCGACCACGCGGCCTGGGAGGTGAACCGGCTGTGCGTCGAGGTCGGGCACTTTGAGTTCCTGTCGCGCGACGCCCAGATCGGCTCGCTCCAGCACTTCGACGCTATCACCACACAGCTGCAGTACGTGTACCGAGACCTGGACTTCCTGCAATCGTTG